AATGCACAAACTTTGAAAAGTAACATACATATCTACAATAACACAAGTATGCACTGTATGTTGTACACAAGCCAGCCAAAGATGTTTTTTGTTTTATGTTTGAGTAGGTAAAATGTACATTACCTGTCTTGTAGTTATTTTAGGGGGTTTTTTTTGTAAAATGTTTGTAGCCAGGATTTCCGGGATCTCCCCTAATCAAACCTGATCCTCTTTAAACTTGAACTTATGTACAGCTATCCACTTTCTGTGGAAACAAAAGCATAACCTCTTCCCCAATGTAACCTATTTTTTACTTCCATTTTGAAGGTAAGACATTTTTAAAATAGGTAGGTTGTTTTAATTCACTAAGTTTTAGAATCCAATGCCTTTTGTCCACTCATCAGCTATTGTCCACTCATCAACAATCAAAAAATTTAAAGTCAATACAACACCATACAGGATCCAGACTCCCTGTGTATTTCCCATCTCTACATAGCTTATTCTGTTTTTATTATTTATAAATGATTTACTTTTTTTCCATGACTGTCTATACCCATTTTCTTTTTTTTTCCCTCAAGCCTATGCACATTTTTAAATACACTGTAACCTGTTTGAGGGTTGTTGGTTTTTTTGGTTTTTTTTCTGTCTGAACTTGCTTTACTGTGTATCTGTAACCTTTGCTGCCTGCAGAAGCAAAATCTTAAACCACCATGCAGCTTAGCTCATGGTGTGCTGGTGGCTCAAGTCTGGAAGCAATTGCTGGGAAATATGTATTTTACCACATGGGAGATTACAGGACTAGGAAGCTGTGTTTGGCTCTATTTTTGTGTGTTTTGGAACATTTTAAAAGCTTTTTCAGGTCTTATATGGAAATATGTCCCCATGTTGGGTGCCATTTGCAGCAGACTTTTTTTTTGGGGGGGGGGGCAACCAGCACACAAAAAACAGATGAGATAGTAAAGTAAGAAGTGGTTACATAAGAAACTTACACTTTGTTCATGATAATGAAAATGTACTGCTATTTTGTGTTTTATTGCTAATAATAGATACTGTTTGATTCATTTTCTTTCCTTCTTGAAAAATGCCAAGCACAATAATCGAGACACAAATTCACTTTACTCATGTGAAGGTAATATGCAAACTATGACTAATTTCATTCTCCAAAATTTGATATTTTACCTAAATATTCAATTTTTCCCTGACTACACAAATCAAATTTCTCATACAGTTCTTGAACCATTGGTTCCCAGAGATAAAGAATAATCAAACCCTAAATAAAACTTTAGATAATTATTTTCCAATATTCTCAGCTCAGTATATCTGGCAGGTAGTGCTCAGTTGAGCAATCTTCTGACAATTTTCTCCTTCACAAGCCCTCATTATCCCACAGGCTCCCGCTGACTCCTGCCAACCCTTTAACACGTCTTGAACTGCTCATTCTTTGCTGTTGCTCATGCCTTGCTCTTTGCCTAGAATGCCCTGTCACAATCTCCCTCTTGAAAATTCCATATGCACCATTCAAAGCCTAAAGTTCTAATCAGGGTCTTAGCTCGTGCTATTCCAGGAAAGCAGACCCAAGGCAGAACTTGAAGGCAGCCATGTACTTAAGAAATGATCTCAAACTTCAGGAAGGCAGGCTGAAAAGAATGAAATACGAGGGGAAAGTCAATTTTAGACCAAGTTATTGCATCATTTCCTTCTGTGGGTATTTGGAGCCCTGCCCTCCAGGTACGATTTGGCTTCAGAATGTTGATTATCTAAAGGCCTGACATTAACAATGCACTTCATAATGTAGAGAAGATGGGATGCATTGGTTACTCAGACACTGATGATCTACTAAGGACCAGGGATGGAGACTTTAAATATCATGCTTCTCCTGAAAGAACTCCCAGGCTCATGGGCACAGCTGATGGCAGGGTTCAGTGGAAAGCACTCTGACACAGGCACACAGTGTGTAGGGTTATAAGAGAGGGAGGAAAGAGGAAGGCCAAAGGGGACAACATTAGCTGATTTTCATGTAGAAAGTGGGTTTCTTAGACAAGCGAAGGACACTAAGCTAGGTTTTGTGCACAGGCAGTCTGTCAAATGTACAATACAGAAATGGAAGCCAGCACAAGCTCACATTGATACTAAAGAGTCCTTTAACATAGTACAGAATGAGTTCTTTACCTAAACATAGATGTTTACTTTTTGCCTCCCTTTATTTTTTTCTTTTTCTCTGTTATTGAAAATATTTTTTCCTCACGTGATGTATCCTGATTAGTTTCCCCTTCTTCTACTCCTCCCAGCTCCTCCCTGACTCCCCTCACATCCAGATCCACCTCCTCTCTGTTGCTCACTAGAAAATAAATGGGCTTCTAAAAGATAACAATTAAATTATATGAAATATCATAAGATAAAATTAAAATGAACACATTGGAATGGGACAAAACAAATAAACAAACAAAAGAGTCCATGAAAAAGGATAAGAAACAGAGATCCACTCATTCATACACTCAGGAATGCCATAAAAACACTAAACTGGAAACTATTATATATATATATATATATATATATATATATATTACCTGTAGGGTGAAAAACAGAAGAAAAAAATACAGAGATAAAATAATAAATAATAAGATATTTTTTAAAAAGGAAGAGCCCTGACATGACATTATGAGACAAGGAACCTACAAAGATGCTGTTGAATTCATTTTCTGTTGGCCATCTACTACTGGACATGCAGCCTACCCTTAAGAATAGTTTGTTTCCCCAGTGAGACTCCCTTGGAAGAAACTAAATTTTCATTTGCAAGAAGTTATCAATTGGAAATAGCTTCTAGGTTAGGGATGGATGTGTGTCCACTTCTCTTTTCAGCTCTGGGATGCCATTTTCATTTTCACTGTTTAAAATTCTGGCAAAATATAACATAAAGTTTATTGTCCATACCAGTTATAAGCACATGCTGAGTGACATTCAGTACATTCCTGACAAGAGTCATTGCAACCACCCATCTACAGAATTCTCTTCATCTTACAACGCTGAAGGTTTATATTCACAAAACACTAGCTCTGCATTTCTCTCACCCTCGACCTCTCAGAATCACAATCTTTCTTTCTCTAGGAATGTGAGAGCACTAGAAACCCACAGGGGTAGACTCTCACAGTACTTTAACTGGCTTATCTCACTTTACATAATGAACTTACTCCACTTAACATAATGAGATAAGCCAGTTACAAAAGGACAGCACTACGAGATTCTTCCCTTTAACACGGAGTAATACTGTATTGCAGCTGTATTCCACATTTCCCTTTTCTATTTACTCATTAGTGGACGTTTGGATTGCCTCTATTTCTTGAATATTATGAATAATGATGCTGTGAAAATATATGAAATTTCTGCTTTCAAGTTTTTGAATATTTATATTCAGAAGTTGAATTGCTGGATCATATAGTAATTTGTCTCTAATTTTCTTGAAGGTCAGTCATACTGTTTTCTGTAATGGTGCCATCACTTCATAGTCCCAGCAAGAGTTCACAAGTGTTCCAATGTCTCCATAGCCTATCAAATATCGGTTATTGTCTATTTTTTCTAGTGGCCATCCTAAGGTGTCAATTCTCCATCTTTTATTGATTATAAAATACATTTTTAGGGGACTAGAGAGATGGCTTAGTGTGTAAAAGCAATTGCTTCTCATCCTGCTGAGCATCATTCAATCCATAGGACCCACACGTGGAAGAAAAGAACCAGCTTTCCCAAGTTGTCCCCTAACCACCACAAGTGAGCATGTGCATCTCTCTCTCTCTCTCTCTCTCTCTCTCTCTCTCTCTCTCT